AGGGTCTCATGCAGTGTAGGCTGACCTTGAACTTGCTTGTGTATCACATACTGGCCTTGAACTCACAGTCATCCTCCTGCCTCAGCCTTCCAAGTGCAGGGATTATAGATGTGCACCACCACACCCAGCCATATAACTTCTAACATATAAAGAACAAAGGCATTCTTGGAAAGGGATAAGAATATGGACCCAGGTATTCTAGTCACCTACTACCTGTACATCTGATGCCTAGCTGGGCCCACTGGACCAGGTGGTGCTAATACAGCATAATTGAAGACCATTGTTTAGCACTAGAGAGGCCTGCCAGCCTGGCTGTTGCTTCTCCATCGTGACATGTGGCTCTTCAGATTTCCCTCCAGCCAGTCTTGGTGTCTCATCTTTTGCATGGGTTCCCTGGAAAGCTCGATCCCTCTCTGACTGCCTAATAATTTCTATGTAATTTAGCATTTGCAATAGCACAACAGATGCTCTATACCTACTGAGCATCACCCCACTCCCTCTCTGCTTCAGTCACTCTCTGCGTCTACAGTTTGATTACTAACATCTTTCATAAGATGGAGTAAGGGCTTCAACAAAGGTGTGTTTCTTTGATGATTCCATTAATCCCAAGCATTGCTCTTTATCCATCAGGGGTGTGTTGCCCAACACCAAATGTGGAGAAAATGAGAATCATAAGTGAAAGGAGAGACTTTACTGGCATATGTGTCTATGCCTATGAAGATTATGTTCTCTACATGTGCGATGAAGGCTACTATCCTGCTTCTACTGATGGCAGGAGTCAGTGCCAAGCAGATGGCACATGGAATCCAAAGATGCCAGTGTGTGAGTCAGGTAAGAATGCTGAGAGGACTTGCCGTTATTTCCCAAATGAGCCCTTCTGGTTCTGCAAAAGAATGCACTTCTTATATCAGGTGAGTTCAGGGTGTTTTCCGACTGTGTGCTTTGTAAACAAGGTCACAGACACACAGTGCTCACATGGTACAGACAGCTGTAGAACCAGCTGTATTGGGGTTGAATCTGGCAAGACTTCTTGTCAGAGAAAACAGTAAAGTAGATGAAGTCCTTCAAAAGTCTCATTTCTCATTTGTCCTGTATTTTCTGCAACTATTTGGGGGAAATGTTTTAGTAAAGAGGAGAACAGTCCCACAAACCTCTATATTTATGTCAACGGAGAAAGAGTGATTTAGGTAACTATGATAAAATGAATGCTGTCAGACTGAAATAGTGGCCTAGTTAGGAAGAGGGAGGCTTGGAGTCAAGTGGTTGATGTCAGCCTTTCCTTTCCTTGCTCTGACTCCAACCTACTGAACTACCTCTCTGTTTATATATGATGGACTTCAAAGAAATAAACACTGAGTGCATAAATACCTGGCTCTGATCAGGGTAAGACACTGAAATATCAACACTGTGATCTTCAGGAGTGCTTCTTTGTATCAACAGAAAAGAGATTATTGAACACCATGCTTCAGGTTAGTATAAAAGAAGAGCTTAAGAAAATGACTTAGGTGCCAGTTGGTAATCTTGGTGGTCATCCCAGGAGGTAGGAGTGAGACTTGAGAGAGAGAGTAGCAAAGAGGGAAAGAAGAGGCTGACTTTCATAAACACCATGGACTTTATTCTTTGTGGCTACTGAGAAGTCTATGAAATGTCTTTTTAAATTATCCTTCTGAAACATGAGAGATTGGGACACTTTTGCTGATCTGTCCCCACTGACCTAAGGTTGTTCTGAAAGAAAGCAACTGTTAACTCTAATCCTGCTCCTTTTGTTTTAGAGAAAGATCTGATGCAGATAAAGTGAGAGATTCCTGGTGAATGCTTTCTGTAAAGCTTGTGGGAAAGTGTCCTCTCCACCTGAAACTGTAATCAGAAGTGGTCCGACTGACTGTGATGTGGGTGCAAAAACATCCACATATATCTTTTGCAGCACTTGGACCTGCTCATGCCCCCTATTAAGTGCACTAAACTACCTCTCTGTTACTTGAAAGTCTGACTGCAATCTTATGAAGACCATTATAAGGAGGGTTAGTGGAGTAAGTTCCCCCTGGTCTTGGAGATACAATTGATTTTACTACTCTTCCATCACTGCTACCCCTTCTAGGTTTTTCTCATTTTCAGTTAGTGCCTGAGTAGACTTAGATTTCTTACTAGAAGTGCTAACCCTTCTTTTATCTCTGATGAATGAGATTGCATGGTGTCTTGTAATGGCCAATTCAATGCTACTTTCAGGTATGGAAGCATTAAGTGCCCTAGTAAACATCTTGGGTTCTAGATTATTCTTTCCTGGCCCAGTTACATGCTAGATACCCTAGCTCTTCAGACCATCGTTTACTGCCCTATCAGTATGGTATCATTTTCCATACTAAAGGCATGGCAACAGCATAGGGAGCCCAGTACAATCAGGTGAAAGTCATAGCTGCAAGGTCGGTGGAAGTCTTCAGTGTCCACTGTGGGAGTTGTTTTGCCACTAGGAAGAGTACATTATAGAAGGGGTTCACCACGGTTGTGAAGAACATCAATCATACTTATATCTTTGGTGTTGGGTTTCATGTTTTCTACCAATTAGGTGCACAGATGCAATGGATTCTGTCAATGAACTCATTTCTTCCTGAGGGTTGGGGTCTTCATGTGCTGGGTTTTACTGGTGAACTGATGGGCTGGGCTGAATCTCTACCATATGTATCCCAGTGATCTGTCAAGCAGTCAGTCTGCTTTCTGGTAATAAATGGTAGGATAATGGATCCCACAGTTGTATTTCCTTTTTTTTTCTGAGCATGCCTTACTTTTATTTTTATTTTATTTTTATTTTTGTACATTTATTTATTTTTTTTCAAAATTTTATTGATAAACAGATAGCAATGAGACAGTTTCAAATCAAATCGGAAGTACAGTTTCAACAAATAATACACTGCATATATTCTTCTTAGTGGTTAATTGCTGTACAAGATGCGGACTTGTGATCCTATTTACAAACACCATTAGAACACAGTTGTATTTCCATTAACACATATTCTCAGCTAACAGCTTTAGGAGCCTTAGACTTTTGCTCATTCTCTTACCCCATATGAAACATTTTTCATTTATCAGTCCTTCTGTCCAAAAGTTTACTTACTATCCTACCCAATAATGTTTTTATTGATGTTCTTTATATTTCCATTAATGAGTTATTTAGTGACAACATGAGTGGTCATAATACAGTGAAATCAGCATTCATATAAGAAAAAGTTTATTTTTAATGTATTTACTTATTTAGTTGATGCTAGATATTGAGCCTAGGACATGCTAGGCAAGTACTTTACTAATGAGCTATGTCCCCAGGCCTGGGGTAATTTAAATATCTGTAGTACTTCTTTACATATAAATTAATTTTATTGGTACTCTTTTACTATACATTATGATCCCATTAATCATAGGAAATTTGTACCTGCACATGATGTATCTTGATTCTTTCATCCCGTCCCACTCCCTGTCTTTCAAATCTTCTTTCCTTTGTTTCCGTTTTTCTCCTTCTGTTCTTTTTAGTCTTTTCTTTTCCTTCCCTTCTGCTTCCTCCCTCATTCCCTTTCTATCTGAATGTTTTCTTCCCTTTTCCCAGTATCTATGAAACATTTTTGCCCTTATTTATATTTTTAGTTTTTCACAGAAGAGAAACAGTACAATATTTAAAAATATGTGTCTGATTTATTTCACTTAACAGTATGGTCTCAAGTAGAAATGTCTCCAGTTTATTCTTCTTTATGGTAGAGTAGTGCTCCATTGTACATAAAAACTGCATTTTCATCCCTGTACAAAAAAAATGTTTAAAAGCTGCATTGTGTTCAACCATTCACCCATTGATGGACTTCTTGTGCTGCTATAGACAGGGGTGTGCACATGTCACTCTGGTATGATGCTTTTTATCCTCTTTGACCTCTCTTTTCAAATACCATAGTTTTCATGGTAGTCTTTTACATCCTATGGTGGATTGACTCCTAACGATTTCTTTTCTTTTTTTTCTGACACTATTGTGAAAGGTGTTGTTTTCTGAATTTCTAACTCAGTGAGTTTGTTGTATCTGTACAGGCATGCTACTGGTTTTTGAGTGTTGACTTTGTATGCAGCTATGGTACTACATTTAGTTATTAAATCTAGATGTCATTGGGTGGAGTTTTGGGGGTCTTCTATGTAGAGTATCATATCATCTGCAAATAATGATAATTTAATTTCCTATCTATCTATCTATCTATCTATCTATCTATCTATCTATCTATCTATCATCTATTTATTTTTGCAGAACTGGGGCTTGAACTCAGGCCCCTGTGCTTGCCAGGCAAGCGCTTATTCTACTGAGCCATCTCCCTGGCCCCTCTGTCCTATTATTATTCATTTTTTACCTCATGTATAATTGCTTTGGCTAATGTTTCCAGAACTATATTGAAAGGGAGTGGTGACAGGGGACATCCTTGTCTTATTCCTGATTTTACAGTGAAAGCTGTCCATCTTTGGCCATTTAGTATGATGTTGGCTGTTGGTTTGTCATAGAGTGCTTTTATCAGATTGAGATAAAGACCACCTACTCCAGTATTCTGTAGGGTATTTTTTTTAACATGAATGTGTGATGGAGTTGGTCTAATGTTTATTCTGTGTCTATTGATATGATCATCCAGTTTTTCTGCTTGACTTGGGTTTATATGGTTCAATAAATTTATTGATTGGCATATGTTTGAACCATCCCTGCGTGCCTGGGATGAATCTTATCTGCTCATGGAGTATAGCCTTATTGATGATTTACTGCATTCTTTTTGCCAATAATATATTGGGGTTCTTTGCATCTATATTCATTAAGGAGACTGGCCTGTAATTCATTCTCTCTCTCTCTCTCTCTCTCTCTCTCTCTCTCTCTCTCTCTCTCTCCCCTCCCCCCCTTGGTTGAATCCCTTTCTGGTTTTTTGTATTAGGGCATTGCTTGCTTCCAGGAATGAGTTTAGAAGTATTGCTTTTCTTTAAATTTCATTAGTCTGAGGAGTAATGGCATTAGTTCTTCTCTAAATTTCTTTTCTTTTCTTTTCTTTTTTCTTTCTTTTTTTTTTTTTTTTTTTGTATTTTAGGGAAGGGTCTATAAGGATGTTCAGGGTCTCGCTACTAGATTGAACTCATAGTGATTCTCCTGTTTACACACTCCCAAGAGCTGGGATTACAGGCATGTGCCACCACGCCCAGTCTCAATTGCTGTCTCAGTGTGCCCTGGGGGTGGGACCAGCACGGCAGACCCAGGGATTGAACCCCTGGCCACTGTGCCTGCTTGCAGGTGCTTTAATCTACTGAGCTATTTGGCTGTCCCTTTCTCTAAATTTCTTATAAAATTTAGCAATGATTCTGTCAGGACCTGGGCTTTTCCTTGTTGGTAGGTTTTTAATTATGTTTTCAATTTCATTAACTGATATTAGGTTATTAAGAATTTTTATGCCTTTTTGGGCTGGAGAGATAGCTCAGTGGTCTAAGCACCTGCTTGGCAAGTTCAAAGATCTGCGTTTGATCCCTGATAGCGCATGTTGTGCTGGTCCTGGAACTCTGGGCACATCACGCAGGTCACTGAAACTGGGTGTGGTGGCACATGCCTGTAATCCCAGCACTGAGGAGGCTGACAGAGGATCACTACAAGTCTGAGCTGCATAAGGAGACCCTGTAGCAAACAAACAAACAAATAAATAAATAAAAAGATTTTTAAAAAATTAAAAAGAACTTTTACATCTTCTTGATTCAGCTTTAGTAATTCATACAGATCTAGGAATCTGTCCATTTCTTCTCCATGTTACATCTCATTAGAACATAGGTTTTTGTAGTATATATTGAAA